TGAGAGGAGGTGGTGGCTGGGTTTAACTTTTTAAACTAAAAAAACCCGCTACGACTAAAAAAAGTACATATTCGGCAGGTGTTTGTGTATCAACCGGCTCTGAACAGCCCAACTCAGTGTCCTTCTTCTCCCTGTCTCTCCCGTAGGCCTCGCCAGCCATGGGGCCATTGGCGTCACCCAGCCCCGCCGCGTTGCCACCATCTCGGTGGCACAGCGGGTGGCCGAGGAGATGGGCTGTTCGCTGGGGACTGTGGTTGGGTACCAGGTCCGCTTCGATGACTGCACCACCGAGGTAGGGCTCTGAGGACGGTGTTCCCACCCGTGTTGTCGTGGCAGGGGGTGCTGGGGGCAGTGGGCTGCGGCTCAGATTTTTGCTTGTGGGATCCTCCATGGAGTGGTGGGGCTTTGCGTGTAGGAGATCTCAGAGCCTTGAGAAGCCATCTGCCCCAGCTGTGGTGAAGCTGCGGTTGTCTGTGTCATTTCACTTGTTTAATCAAGTTTTTTTGAACACCTGACAAGTGAAAGATGCCCAGGCACCTGAGATGCAGAGCATAAGCACCTGAGATGCAATCTGAGTGTGTGTTCTGGACAAGTACCTGATCTATGTAGAAGTGTTCGCTTTACTTTGAAGTAAAAATCCACGGTAACAGTTGAATTTCTAACTAAACCTTTCAGGATACTGCCATTAAGTATATGACTGATGGCTGCTTATTGAGGCACATATTGGCAGACCCACTTCTCAGCAAGTACAGTATCATCATTTTGGATGAAGCCCATGAGCGGAGCCTCAGCACTGTGAGTGTCACCTTATATCTGTCCTTTTGGGTCACTATTTCTCCTTTACTGAGGTCTATTTGTACCACTCTTTCACTTCTGCACAATCTCCAGGGATAAAACACAAACAAAGCCCTGAAACATCTCTCTCACTCTAAGACCTCATGTTTCTTAGGGTGTGTGTGTGACTGTGCAGAGAGATTATGGCTTTTGGGATCGTGGAAGTATCTGACCTAAGTACCAAAAGCTGTCAAATGTCACTCTGACCCTTCTGTGACAAGCAAAGTGAGGCTCAAGTCACTCAGTCCTCAAGAGATTGTGTTGTGTCAACCAACCTCCCAGTCCAGCAAACAATCTATCAGTCCAGCTGGGGAAAAGGGAAAGTGCTTTCTGAATCCTAGTTCTGCCTTCAAGTATCTGAGAATATTGCAAGTAATTGAGCCAGGGTGATGTAAGAAGTTGCTGCTCCATCACCTGAGTCTAACTAAAAGAAGCAGATTTTTAAGCCAGAGCAATGTAATAGTAAATACTACAACAAAGGAGGGTGCACACTCAGTCAGGTAACGAACGCTGGACAAAGGTGCTGACTTTTTAAGATGGCCCTGAAGTAACTACTTGCAAATGATTTGTCCATGAGAATGTAAAAATTAAAACCAAAGGATTTTACGTTACACGGATTCTGTTTATAGGCTGTGAGAAGAGATGATAACAAAAAATCAGTTAAATTCTATAAACCAATTAGTGTGCTTACAAGACAGCCAGAGTAACTGAATGTATTCTTCTGAGTGCTTAAGACCTGAAGGTATGATTTTTCTGTCTTCACTGTATCAGTGGGATAAAATCAGTCCCTTCCAAGTTTGTCAGGTACTTCTAAGAAAACTGTGGTACTAAACTAAGCTGCTTCTGTTTTTCTGTTAGGATATTTTATTTGGTTTGCTGAAGAAACTATTTCTCCAGAAGCAACCACCAGAGAGGAAGACAGCCATGAAAGTGGTGGTGATGTCAGCCACTCTGGAGGTAGACAAGCTCTCGGAGTTCTTTGGACACTGTTCAGTGCTGCATATTCCAGGAAGAAGTTATCCTGTCAAGGAGATATTCTGCAACCTGCTCAGCCCAAGGGACGTAGGCAGCTCTGCGTATGTTACAGAGGTCTGGCCTGTTCCTCTTTGTTTCTGTGTTGAGTTCTCTGTTCTGGGTATGATTATTATCTGTGAAAGACCCCAAGAGTTAGGTGCTGTGTTGCTGTGTTCTTAGCATCTCTGTAGGATATAGCGAAAAATTAGTACTATGAATTTTAGAAAGAGTAAATGAGATTTCAGCTGTTATTGGCTTGTTTGTTGTTTGTTTTAGGCTGTAAAAGTGACATTGGACATCCACTTAAATGAACCAGAAGGTGACATCTTGGTTTTCCTGACAGGTGAGATTTTTTTCTTTCCACAACTAATGGTTATTTCAGGTGAAGCGTGGCATTGTCAGCAAAAACAAAACAGTACATCCTTCCAGTGACTGCCTGGTTTATCCCAGAGCAGCGAGCAGAGAAGGGAAAGTTGCAGGTTGACACACATAGTCCTGTGAAGTGACAGTTTTCAGTGCCTGTTTAGGTATTTCCATGCCTATGAGATCAGATAAGAAAAACATTAACTTAAAAATGTGCATATGCTCTTTTCTTCCTGTGCCAATTTTACTCTGTATTGTCTCTGTGTTTTATTTTGTTGTTAATTCAGGAAGGGAGAATTTCTTTAGCTGCAAAACCCTCCATCAGTGTATAAGCCAGGCACTTACTCAGTCATCTTGTAAGGAAAAGCCTTGGTGAGAGGTGCTGTGGAAAGGCTGGATGTCACCTCCTAAACTAACTTCCTTCTTGTCATGGTGTTGATAACTTGGCAAAACAATCTTGTTTAAAGATGTTGCAGACTAGGAAGGCAGAGTTGTAGCTATACAGGTTGTTTAAATGCTCTTGTATGTTTTTTAGGTCAAATTGAGATAGAAAAAGCTTGTGACTTACTCTTCAAGAAAGCAGAATCTATCGATTACCGGTATGAAGTACACGATCGGTCTGTTGAAGGCCTGCTTATCTTACCATTGTATGGGTCAATGTCAACAGGTAAGAGCATATAATGTCTTATGGAACTTAATTCACATGAATGTTAACTACAAGAGTTGTTATAAACAGTATCCTACTCAGATATTTCTGTTGTGATTGGAAAACATGGCATTCATTAACCCATTTGTTATGGTGCTGTAGCACTGTGGGGGTTTTTTTGTGGTGTTCATAAACTGGTCAAACTTCAGCCTTCTGTGTACTTGCACAGAAGCCCCCAGTTAAAATTCATATCCACTGGGAATGGCTTCACATGGCATCAAGGTCTCCAGCTTAGGAAGGAGATGCTGTGTAACTGAAAGTTCAGATGTCTTTTTTGGGCCCTCACATTTTATTTTATATGGAAAAGATATTGCCAGTAGGTTTTTGGTGATGAGAGTAGACCTGTAAGGAAAGATATGATGTTACACAATATAGAAAAGTACATGTTATCAGAATGAGTCAGTCTGTTTTATTTGGCAGCAATGCCACAGTTATTTTCAAAGAGTTAAAAACAAAGGCCCTTTGACCTTTCCTGAGCACAGACACTGTATTTTCAGATGAACTTGAGTGCGATGTTTAAATATGTGGGTGCGGTATGTAGAATGCCAAGAGGCTGAATAAGTGTTCAGAAGAGTGGGACAGCAATTTCCAAGTGCTACTGGAAAAGATCTGGTAATGATCTGCAGAGATGGAGCACAATTTTTACCATCTTGAAAGAGCAAAATGAAAAGTTGCATAAAAGAAAGGTTGTAGCTTCTTCCTTACTCCATGATACTCCATTAGATTCCCAACTGAGAGTGTTGGGTTTTTTTTTTGGTGGTAGTTTCTCAGAGGCCATTGTATTTGAATATTTTTAAATACACAAAAGATAATTATCCTTGAAGAGATTTAGATATTTTTCAAGTATAATAACTTAAGAGAGAATATTTCAGGGAAGAGTTGAATTTCCATCTCCTTTTTTTTTGTTCCTTGGAAAGCCAAATGAATTGATGGAAATTGCATATGCTACTTTGTTACATGTTAAAAGATTTGCTGGAAACATAAGGAGTTTAACAGAATCTTTTCATATTCACCTTCACTGCTCTGATGGTTAAAACCCTTCACATCCTTCATGAAGATTCTATTAATACCAGACACCTTGTTTGTTTTTCCTAGCTCTGGGTTAGGAAACATCCAGGAGAGATGACCTTTCTTGATCTCAAAATCTCCTTGAATATGCAAGCAATAAAGAAGATATTCTCTGATTTCTGGCATATGCTAAAATAATACCCAATCTATATTTTAGAATGTTATGTGATTCACTTTCTAATTTGGTTTAAATGACTTTCACAAACTATTTGAGTAAGTTTGCACAGTGTTAGAGAGGTGGTTTGAAATCAGAGCATTGTAACATAAATTGTTTGACTGACTACCTGTCATTTTAGATCAACAGAAAAGCATCTTTTTGCCAGCTCCGAGGGGTATTAGAAAATGTGTGGTATCCACAAACATCGCTGCGACATCTCTGACGATTGAAGGAGTCAGGTATTGTTTCCTGTCCTTCTAAAATCTGTAACAGAGGGAATAATTCAGAAAGTTCTACTAGATTTGGAAAAAGGCATCTGACTTCCTTCTGCTGCTATACCTGCCCAATAATTACCTGTTGCCTTTTTTGTGTGTAGTGAATAAAAAAAACCCCTTTATACCATTATATAGTCTTACAAATGACTGGTATTGTTGGACCCTAATTTGAAATCACGTCTCAGCTCCATTAATCTCCTTGGCTGCTGGGAGGTTTGATCTGTAACATCCTGTAGACTGAGGCATTGCAGGGCTGCAGTACCAGCAAAGGGCAAGAACCTGATTGCAGGGCAGACGTGTTCTTGCTCTGATCGTGTGCACGTGGCAGGTACCTGTCTGTCTGCTGAGACCTCTGTTGTTTTCTTCTCTGACAGAGTCTGAATCTTTTTCAGATATGTTGTAGATAGTGGATTTGTGAAGCAGTTGAATCATAACCCCCGAGTTGGCTTGGACATACTGGAAGTGGTTCCCATATCAAAGTAGGTTTTGAAGAGGTCATGTGCTTGGTGTTTCTGGAGTTGCTCTGACAATGTTGTGTATTGGTTGATCTTTAAAAATAAAAATGAAAAAAGGGGGATGGGTGGCTTTGAGGCTCCATAATTTAGTCATTTTGCTGCTAAACAGAATGTGGTTCAGAACATATAATTTCCTATAAGTTATAGGCATTAAGAAGGAATTGACAATACATTGTCTGTAGTCTGAAGAGTGGCTCACGTGTCATCTTGTTTTTGCTGAATACAACAGTCTGATTCAGAGAAGTTTAAAAAAAAAAAGTCTTTCCTTGCACAGAAATGCTTCTTCATTCTGCTAGTTTTGTATAGCTGGATTTCTCAGTTGCTGCACAGTGTGAGGTATCTTCCATCTACCAGCATAGAAATTGATATTATTTATCATAGTTACAGTGTGCTTTTTTGTAGAAAAACAGAGGGGATCAAGAATGTGGATTGTTCTTCCCTGTCTGTCTGTTTTGGCAGGAGCGAAGCAAGGCAACGAGCTGGCCGAGCTGGCAGAACATCATCTGGAAAAAGCTATCGCCTCTACAGCAAAGAATTCTGGGAGCAGTGCATGCCTGATCACACGGTCCCAGAGATCAAGAGAACCAGTCTGACATCTGTGATCCTGACCTTGAAGTGCCTTTCTGTGCATGATGTCATAAGGTAACCTCCATGGAATGGGGACAGTTATCGGTTTCTTCCTGAGTCTCAGCAGCAAGGCAGCACAGGCACCGTCAGCCTCTTGACAGGAGGCAGGACGAGGTCCCCAGCCAACTCTGACACTTGGATACAATCAGCTTTTCAGCTCTTCTCCTCAGTCTTTAATGCCAGATTGGATCTTGAGCTCAAGTTCAGTTTGAGGTTCTGCTAAAACTAGCTCCTTCTCTCCAAAATTAAATAGCTAATATTCTTCCTTTAAAATATTAATGTTTATATCCCAAAAGCTTCATCTCTGTGGAAGTGTTTAATTTTAGGATCATACATGTGCAGAAAACAAAGTTCATCTTTGCATGTGCCATGCTGGGCTGTACATGTCATAACACACCCATGCACTGAAGACCCTTGTGTGCACTTTGGTCAGAAACTTGTATTGGAAGGTTACAAAAATATTTTAATAAATATGAAGACTAACAAAGCTATACTGAGCCTGAACAGTGAGACTTTCTTACTTCATTTTTTACTATAGATTTCCCTACTTGGACCGCCCTGAGGAAAGGCATATTTTAGAAGCTCTCAAGGAACTTTACCAGTGTGATGCTATTGACAGGTAAAAAATAAAAGGATGTAGTCACTACAATAATTTAAAATCTAATGGCTTAACTGATGTTTGTGAGTTGTTTATGTGGATTAAAGGACTTGCCCCAGCAGTAGAGTATGCTTCCTCATTAGACCAGGAAGTTAATTACTGGGTTTTAATACACTCTCTATAAAATTAGAGTTAGAGCATGGTTTAGGATTTGAGAGATACAGATTAATTTCTTCACATTGTCCTGGAGTTCCTGGGTGACCTCAGACAAATGACCTCAAGTCTTTGTGCTGTAGTTCCTGGTCGCAGATCCCAGACTGTGCTGAAGGTTTTTAGGCAGTAGCTGTGAGGCCCATCCAAGAACTCAAGACAGGAAGCGAGATCTTATCCTAAGCTTCCAGGAATTCTTCTGGCAAAAAAAAATATAAAATCTTAAGCATCTGGTACACTGCAAAAGCTGTCTCTGCCTGCCATGGAGCAGGCATAAGCAAACTGGAGAAAGGTGAAATGTTCTGCTAGTGACCCTTGCTTTGTGCCTCCAGCACCTGTGTGGGCACACAGAGGCTGCAGTGTTAGAATGATCCAGAGGGAAATGCTGTTTTCATGCTCTTTGTCAGTATATGGTGGCTGACTTTGTGTGTGCATGTTCCCATTTACATTTAAACATAGTTTTGTTGAATCTGGTATTTGAATCTTTTTTTTTTTCCTGGGATAAGGAGAGGCCACGTGACAAGACTGGGTGAATTCCTGGTGCAGTTTCCTCTCCCTCCCAATCTGACCTGTGCTGTCATAAAAGCTGCTTCTCTTGACTGTGAAGATCTGCTGCTTCCCATAGCAGCCATGTTGTCTGTGGAAAATGTCTTCATTCGTCCAGGTAGGAAGCCCCTTTATCCCAAATCAGCTGTGGGTGGGACGGGGACATCTCAGGCAGTGGTTAACCAGCACACAGTATTTCACCTGGAGACCTTTTCTACAGCCTCCCTCTGTGGGGTTTTTTTGCTCTGAGTAATTTTCTACACTAATAATGTGTGAGGCCACAGCATCTTACAGATATATCTCGAGGTTATAAAGTGGGAAGTGGTTTTGTATTTTGAACAATGGTAGCACAACCTTTACTTGAGAGTCAGGTAATCCTGCTGGGGGCCAAGCTGGTCTCCTTAGTTGAGCCAAATACTGGTGGGAGACAAAAGTGTTTACCTTAAACTAAAGCTTTAAATAACCCTTATGTTGCAGTGTGAGGAAGGTTCCCCAAGTGCAATGCCTTGTCTCCCAGAGTACATCGTAGCGGATCTGTAGGGAAGACTGTTAAGATCAGGGCAGATATACAATGGCACTGTATGCATTTACAGCTCTCTGTAGTCTTGGTCAGGGCACATTGTGCACTAGGAATTGGACAACAGTTGTTCCAGAGACTTCACAATAGCATGGAATTGGGTTGTATTTATCCCAAGGCTGTGAGCTGTAAAGCAACATATGGGTAAGCGAGTGGATTGCTGGGAGGTCATAAGGGGGAAAACTGTTACAGGAAGGAAAAGAACCTACTAAAAAGCTGAAACACACAACAGCAGATGTTTTGATGTTGCTCTAAGTACAAACAACAGGAACTGATTAATTTGTTTTTAAGGAATGGGGTCACCTCTGGCTTGGCTTTTCTGTTCAATAACTCTGTTTAACCAAATAGACCTTTTAATTTACTGTGAGAAGTTCAACTTGTCACTGCCTCCATTTCCAGTGTTCTTCTAAATGGAAAATGTCATTTTGCTGTGGTTCCAGGCTGGCACCTCTCTAATGCTAAATTCAGTCTCCCACGTCCTCCTTCCCATCTCCTTTCCCCTCCAATCTGCCCCCTGCTACACCCCCCAGCCATGCTACATATAGTCTTTGTATGTAGCACAGTCTTTGTGGGAGACCTTTGTCCTTTCTAGTCACTCATTGGCTCTTGTCCAGTTATCTCTGTAGTCTATTAACTGTGCCCGTTAGTGCAGCAGCTACAGACACGGCTGACAGTACCGATAGCCTGGATTCTGCTCTGGGGTCTTTCCCATTCCCACAAATGTGCTTTTCCTTTCCCCTCCTCCATCTGGCATTGTGCCCCTGTTATCTGTTCAGCTGGCTAACGCACACATGGTCGTTACCCTCCAGCAGCCCTGTGCATTAGGACACAAACACCAAGGCTCCCATCATGAAGGCACTCACTTGTGGGTGATGTTGTATGAACAGGCCTTCTTCTGCATCCGTGTTACTTGTCATACCCACAAACTTCTGACACCGTCTGCAGAACAGCAGCGATGCGATGCATCAGCCTGTGCAGACATACCCCTCTCTACAAAGGGGAATAGGCTGTGCTGGTGAAGAAATTCTTTGGGTATTTAAAACTTGAAATAACACTTTGGAAATGTTGCTTTGCCTAGTACATTCCTAACATTTAGTAACTACTTACAGATCACATTTTTTTCTAGACTCTATTTTTTTAAGACCTCCATTGCTATGGCACTTGAGTACTAGGACAAAAGCTGAGTTAACTCGATTAGATGGTGCTATGATGGGGTGGTTTCAACAGCCTTGTTTTTTCTCCCAGAGCACAACTTTCACTTGATCCCTGTGAGCTGTTTGTTTAAGATTGCAGTTCCGTGCCGGCATCTGAGTTGATTGTGAGAGCAATACATAGAACCTTTCTTTCTAAGAGACTAGAAGTCTTCATCTCTAGTGCTGATGGATGAGATTAATCACAGATTTAAAAGCATCTATGTATTCTTGTTCAGCAATAGTGGAAGGGGGAAGAGCTGTAAATGCAGCTGTGGAGGAGAAACAAATCTAAAAATAACATGAATAAAGAGCCAGGATTGTCAAACACACTTTGAAGAGATACTAATGGAAAATAATTTAGGAGTGATAAATAAAAATTACTTTGTTGAAGTGAAATATAACTTACTTCCTCAGGTGATCCTCAGAAGCAAAAGGAGGCAGAACTTCAACACCAGGAACTTTCCTCACAAGTGGGAGGATGCAATGACTTTGCAACTCTCTTAAATATTTTTGAACAGTGTAAAGCAAGGTATAAAATAATTCCTTACAGTGAATGATTTTGCATTGCTCATATCTCTCAGCTGCTGACAGTTTTTAAATATATTGCATATATGCACATGTATGTATTCATACCTAACTGCAGATTTATTCCTTATTGTGATCTGTAATTTCTATCAAGACACTTGTTATTTAAACTAACAAAGTATCTGCCTGTGTAGGTTGCCTTCTTTGTACAACTGTAACAAAAAATAGAAGCAACTTTCTGCCTTCAGCTTACAAAGGGCTTTTTTTATAATACAAGTATTTCTGTTCTCAGCAAGTCTCCTTCAGCTTGGTGCCAGAAATACTGGATCCATTGGAGAGCTTTAAAATCTGCTTTTAGTGTGGAAAAACAACTTCGGGAAATCATCAGTAAACTGAAACAGGTAAAAAAAATATAATTTTAATGTATGATTGAGTTATATAAATTTATATCTAAGACATGTACTGGACTACTGAGCCTTTGCCAGATGGCTGCTGCCTTTCTCCAGTAGAAACTAATCCACTTAAATATTTATTAGAGCATCCTCTGTAGCTTGTGTAACTAACAGGTATGATGGTGGCAGCAAGAAGGAGGCTTTTCCTCCTTTCCTCATGGTTTCCATAGGGTGAGAAACCCGGAGTTTAAAATCCATAGGATGGAGGGGGTGTAGCCACTTTTCCTTGGGCACAGATCCTGATTCATGTTGGTTTTTTCTTTACATAGCTACCAGACTTCCCTAAAGAGACATTTGAAGGCTCCAGAACTGAAATTCTAAGAAGATGTCTGTGTGCAGGATACTTTATCAATGTAGCTAGGAGGTAAGTAATAAAGTTTGGATAATTGAGTGGAAAATATATTATACATATTCTTTAAAGGTGTAGCTGCATATTGAAACAGAACAGTAAGGCTGTGTATTGTTAAAAGTAGCAAGGTAGCAGTTGTAGCTGAAGCTGGTGTTTCTGCACAGGGCTGGGATCCTGGTGGGTACTCTGCTTTTGACTCTCAACTACATTCCCAGGGAAGTTCCTTACATCCTTGTTTTTTTCTATCTGTGAAATGGACTTGCAAGCTGATGAGGAGTTCCAGATATTAAACTAAGGGCTTGGCAATTTCCAATTATTGCATCTGTCAAAGATTTCAATCCCAAACCCTGTTTATTATTGTGTTGTTATATCTGCAGTGTTACTGTGGTAAATTAGACAGATATACAGACACCCAGACTTATTCCTCATTGGTTTTTTTACAGTTTAATTCTGGAATGATCTTCCCTTACTTATATATTTGAGCACTTTCCCTGTTACTTAGTTAGTGTTGTTGTCTAATCACAGCAAAGTATGTTTCATTATATGTATTTTATTAATCAGTTTGTTTATTTATTTTCCACAAACCTTTCAGATCTGCGGCCAGGACATTCTGCACAATGGATGGACATGGCAGCATAGTCTATATCCATCCTTCATCTGCAGTAAGTTACCAAATTCTATTAGTAAAGTAGCAAAGGGTCTATAAAAGGAATAAGAGGCAGATCCCTGTAAACTCCTTCTCTTCTGTTTGATTTGTGTGAACTTACAGTCAGAAGAAGCACCATTGTGTCCATTTGGAGAGTAGGGAAGAGCCTCACTTCTTCAAATTTGGTAAATGTTTGGTTTATGAAACAAGTGTGACATAGACTGAGTTTTCTCTCTGGCTCTTTGGATTTCCTGGGCAATTTTAAGCAAGTCATTATGCCTCAGTTTCCCTGTCTGAAAATTTAGGGTAATGTCAGCTTTATCTCGTTCTTGTGTCTGAAGCATTGGAAGATATTCCAATGGAGAGTGCTGTAGAAATAAAACTTCTTTTTTATCAGTTCTGAAATAATCTTTTAATTTTTCAGCTATATAACCAGGAGACTCTCCTCGAGTGGATCATCTTCCATGATGTCACAGTGACATCCAAAATCTATGTCCGGACAGTGTGTCCTGTTCGCTATGAATGGGTCAAAGACTTGTTACCCAGATTGCATCAAATCGATGCGTATGAACTGAGCAGTGTGGCACGGGAAGAAGTAACTGAAGAGGAAATAACCAGGTGGCAACAGAGGGAGGACCTTAAAAGGCAGTATGGTAAGCACATTGCTAGGCCATATCTGTGGCGTGCGTAGTTTTCTTGGTTGTTGCAGACACATATGTCTATATTACGTCACTGAATGTGTTCTGGACAAGTAGGTGTTGATCTGGATGTGCTTAACTTATTTGCTGTGTGTAGCTCTCACTATTTTCTTGTCTTACTACAGCTCTGCAATCCTTATTTTCCTGCCTCAACAGTGTGTGTAGTGGTGTTTGTCTACTGATTCTTGCCATGCTGCCCCCTTCTTTTGGTTTACTAGAGCTGACAGGAGCAGAACTTTTAATACAGAGATGAATAAAAGCATTTTCAGTCTGGCTGTTATTTAAGTTTGTGAAGAGTATTTAGCCATAGATACACAAAGTAATACTGTCCTGAGAGGGGAAAGTCCTAAGTGCTGGGGGTGTGTGTATGGGCGGGGGGAAACAAACAAAAAACTAACACCACAACAACAACAACAACAACAACAACAAAACATTGAACAAAAAACACAGAGGAAAAAGTATCATATTTTGGTGAATGTTGCATTCTGACAGTGAATTTAATGCCATATGTTTAAATAGTTTTAATTAAAACTGGTGCCTGCTAACTGATTTGACTGCTTGACATTCTTTGAATTCTTCTGTCAGCAGGTTTTGTAAAGCAGCCAAGTATTCAAAGGGCCTCTTTACTCCTGAGCTGACCCTTCCACAATGTTAATTTAATATACAGTACAGGCACTGGCAATATAGATTCTTTTCAGTTTCCTTAACAAGAGAAAACATGGCGACTGTTATCCTCAGACCAGCATTTCTTTCTGTCCTGCATTATTATATAAAACAACCATTCTAAACAATAAAAACATGAATTGAATTTGGTTATAAATTTGATGGAAAGGATATTTGCCTTATTGGATCACATAGAGGAGCCTCCTCTGTCTAAACTCCAAGGAACTGAGGTTTATCCTCTTTGTTCTCCTTAACTTTTTGACTTCACCAAGCAATTGTAAATCAATTTGAGATTAATATTGACCTTACAGGTGGTGTATTTCATGGAGCTTCATAAAAATAGGTGGCTGAATAGCTGGCAAATGCTTAATTAATACCTAGCTGAAGTAAAGGCTGCAGCATGAGCTGGATTGACTCTAAGACAGAATAATTACAAATATTCCAAGAGTGTCAATTAAAGCTCTTTCCTTATATCAAAGAATCTGGTGCCCAGAGCCCCAGGAACAGGCTGCAGTAGCTGCTTCATTCATACTTAGGCTCTCAGTGTCTTTGATATTTTTTGGTTATTATTATTTTAAATTTTATTTTAAACTGAAAATATTTCCTGCTTTTCTTTCCTTCTGGGAGAAGCACTCCCAAGGTCTCAGCTCAGTGGGAGAATGTGCACTTCTAATGGTGTCTGCTCTGGAGTATTGACTTTCCCCACTCCTTTATCTGTGTGTTATCTTCCCTCTTCCTCCTACCTCTGGCAATTTATAAAAATAGTTTATTCTAAGCTTTTTTCCCCCCTGGTGCCACTGCTGTCCCTGTACTGCCTAGACCTGAATTTGAGATGTGTAATTTGGGGAAGAAATGGGAACACAATCGTATCTGTTACAATAAAAAACATGATACACATTTGGGGATGAGCTGAGCCCAGCTGCAAATATTGACATGGGAGTTAAGGCATGGATTTTTATTTTTTTCCCTCTCCCTGCTGTGGTACAGTCTGTCCTCTCTGGAAGTCATTCAAATGACTGACTGAGACTTGAAAAACATTTGGGGTTTGGAGTATTTTGCAAATAGGAGGAATTGTAATGCTGGGTTGGTTTTTCTTGGGTTTTTTGGATTTTTTTGTTACCCAGAAGAGTATATTTCTCTTTATCCTCTCTCCCCAGAAGGAATCACAGACAACCCTGCGAAGAAGATGGAGAGAAGGAATGATGATAAATCAATACTGGATGCCCGAGCTCGCTATCTCGAGAGAAAGCAGCAAAGAGCCCAGGGTTTAAGTGGCCCATTGAAAGAATCAGAGTGATACTCAGGGCTGCTCTGCTCCCAGGGTGAGGAAAGGCAGTTCTGTGCAGTTGTTCTGGGTGTGTTTGCATAATGCAAAGTGACTAACTGGAACCAAGGAAAACTTCTGCTTTGTGGTAAGTTTGAGTGCTGAGGCATACAAATGCAATCTTCCTTCGCTGTATCCAGCAAGGAAAAGTGACCAAAGTTACCAAGCTGAATTTGGTTGCTACGTGTCACCAGCAACAATTTAGCGGCCTCAAACGTGGATGAAGACGTGATACTGTGGTGCCAATTCTGTGGCATTTAGTTGGCTTAGAAAAGTCTTGGTGGTCTCAGTGCCATTATTAATAATTTATTTTTTAAGGTTTTTTTTTTTAAAGGAGTGGAACTGTCACTTTTTATCCATTTTACTTTGTATGATTGTGGCTGTACAACCTCCATGCTCATACGCTACTCAGGAAAATGTGTAGGAAGTGCTCTCTGAATGATAGAACCAGCAGGATCTAAATCCAAAAGGACGTTTGCCACCCGCATTCTCTGTTGCAGACAGTGTTGTTCCTCCGTGTATTGTGCTGTACCACGTACAGTGATGGCTCTGGGTGCAGATGTGTTATTGCAAAGCATTTTGGAAATGTTTTCACTTTCTTGCTAAGTGCATCACTTCTGTCAGGGATGACGTAGCACTGGGTGTTCTCCATTTGGCAAAGAGACCCCCGCAGTCAGTCCAGCGCTCAGCCAGGTTACGCCCTGCAGTCCATCAGCAGGCTGCTGCCTCGTGGGCTTGTTTTTCTGAATTTGGTGACTGTTATTTTTAAAATGTATGGATTTTGGTCTGAAGAATGACTGTTTAAATGTGTAGAAAGAATACACAAGGAAATACTACCTTTTTACCTCGACTTGTGTATATAAAAAGCAAAAGAGCTGCCATGCTTTGTCATCATAAAGTTTGTTTCCTTCTGTCACCTTAATAATCCTGAAATGTTCCAGTGCGGAGCTTGTGTTTTTTACTATTTTTCACTTTCAGTAAATAACATTTTATGTAAGTTTTATATAAAACTGGAAGAACTGTCATTTTTCACACTGTGTGTCACCTTCAGTTGCTTTTCAGGTAACTCAGTAACGCTGTTGAAGTGATGTTGTGAGGCAGCCTGAGCACTTGGTGTAAAGCGTTAAGCATTTCACCTCTGTTCTGCACAGACCAGCTGATCCTAAGAGAATCCCAAGCTTTTTTGAAAGCTTATATGGGGAATATGATGATAATAGTCTTTGTAAAGAAGGTAGTAGGTCCGATAATTGTCCCTATTAAAATGAAAAAGCTGAGGCTGGTCCCAAAACTAGGGAAGAAGGTGTGATTCATGTCTGGAAGTGCCTTGTGAGGCTGTGAGAGGCTTTGACTCGAGCAACAGTGTGGCTGTTAACGGCAAGAGCAGGAGCGAGCAGCCCCCCCTGCCAGTTTCGGTCGCAGAGTTCCCAGCTGCCAGAGAATTGCTGCTGCTTGTCCCTTCCCCGTGTGTACAGAGCGCAGAAGCAGCAGCGAGGTGAATGAATGTCCTTTGAGTTCCTCAGGGAATGTGTGAACCAAGCAGTTGCTGGTTGGGATCAGTCGTTGTAGGAAGCAGCACGCTGACGATTCCTCTCTCGTTGGGCCCTTTATCCTGCGTGCAGGTGGAAGAGGGTTTTGTTCTTTCACGCTGTTTCCCAGACTCTGCTTTGAGAAGGCAACGCTGTTTCTTGACTAAACCTATAGTCTGAATTCTGCAAAAGCCCACAACTGCTTGCTGTTCACTTTGATTTTATATTATATTTGCAATGTCGTAGCCACTTGAAAGTCAAATAACATCTGCACCACACACCAGGTCTGAAAGCATTACCTAGAACATCTCCTCTTGCTTGGGGCTCTCTCTTGTCACATCCTAATGCTTTTCTTAGTTTATTTATTATTATTTTTTAACTTTCTTAGTAGCAAGAAGGAAGGGGTTTTGGGTTTTTTTCCCCCCATGTGTTCTAGGGCTGCTCAGAAGTCTTGAAATGATGAATTTAAGACAAAAGCAAAGATGGGATGAGGAAATAACTGTGAGATTGCAAAATAAGGTCTAAGAAAAGCTGTGGTAGATCTGCTGGGGTGTTTGTGCTTCCAACGCACGCCGCCTCCTTGTAAAGCACTGGGAATGCCCTGTGTGCTGGTAAAAAGCCAAGTTTGACCTGGAGTTCTGTTGTAAGTTAATAAACAGAGGGAAATTTGAAGTTTTATGATGTTTATTGCATTTATTCGCAGTGTTAGAGGGGAAGAGGCCTTGGGGCCAGCGCTGGAGTTGGAAGGGACGGTGGGAGCAGCTCCCAGCCCTCCCCTGCCTTGGTTCCTCTGTTGTTAACGGGGGTTGGTGTCGCGTTCTGAGGTCAGACGCATCC